GTGGAGGGCAAAGGGGAATAAATGGGGACAGAGGCTTTGCTTGGGGCTATGGGCCACAATGCAGTGTGCAGATGGTGTTTTGTTGAGTTGTACACTTGAAACCTGTATGGTTTTATGAATCGATGCCACCCCAATAAATTCAATAAAAAAATAAGAAGAAGAATAAAATAGCCAGCATATAAAGTATTGTGTCCTGAGTGCCAAGTGAATGTGGGAAGCTGAAGGTGCTGCTGGAATCCACAGGTTACTCCCTAGATCCCAGGCTCGCAGGAAAGCCAGGTGAACCATGCTGTCTGTGGGAATCCTGGTAGCCCTGCAGAGAGGGAGTTGAAGGGCAGTTCCAACAGGGAGACTGTGCAGAAAGGAGAAAGCCCACAGTGAGTGTATGCATTTCCTGGGGCTACCACAACAAATTACTAGACAGCAGAAATGTATTCCCTCACATTCTGGAGCCAAGGAGTCTGAAATCAAGGTGTTGGCAGGGCCACACTCCCTCTGAAGGCTCTAAGAGAATCCCTCCTTGCCTCTTCCTAGTTTCTGCCGGCTGATGGCAGTCCTTGGTGTTCCTGGCTTTTAGCTGCATCACCCGTCTCTGCTTCTGTCTTCGTGTGGCCTTCTCTCTGTGTGTGTCTGTGTCTCTCCCTAGAAGGATGACACTCCTTGGATTTAGGACCCACCTTAGTCCAGTATGACTTCATCATAACTAATTATACCTGCAAAGATGCTATTTTCAGAATGAGGTCACATTCTGAGTTTCCAGGAGGGCATGAATTTTATGGACATTATTTAACCCAATACAGAGAGTGTTCAGAATAGTTTGATGTGAGTGGAAATTCTGTCAGGGAAATAGCCGCCTGCAAAGATTAGGCTGAAAGATATGCTAAGCACTTATTTAAAGGTAAGCGTCTCTCCTGTGGAAAAAAACAACAGCTAGCATTTATATACCATTTGCTATGTGAACCATTCGGAAATACGGATGGACTATTACCCCATCTTACAGATGGGGAAACTGAGGCACAGAGATACTAAATAAAATCCCCATAGCCAGAAAGAAACAGAGCCAAGGCATTGACTGAAGAGTCCATGCTCTTAATTCCCATTCCCCTTCTAAACATTTTAAATGCATTTGATCAGAACAGAGCATGCACGGGTCTCCTTCCATGAGCAGTGAGCTTGCAAGCAAAGGGAGAAGTCATTTGCCTTTGGTGCACATTAAATGTTGCGGTCAGCGTTATTGCCCCATTATCCCTACAGCTCATGATTTTTTGTATTTTCAGGAATGGGGAGAGTGTTGATTTAAACTCCTGGAATCTGTAAGGATGGGGTTGTTTGCAAGGGATCCCACAAGCCAACTAAGCCATGCCCTTTCCCCTACCTGGCAGTGCCCTAGTCTAACCTGGTCTCCTTTTCTAGTGCCTTACAACTAGGATGATCAACCATCCCAAACTGCGTGGGACTGAGGGGTTTCCTGGGATGTGGGAATTTCAGTTTAAAAACCAGTCCAGTCCTGGGAAAACAGGCATGAGTCAGTCACCCTGCTTACAACCCCCTTATCATGTGCTGCATCAGGAGAGTCTTCCTCTAACAGAGATGAACTCCAGCAGTGCCCACAAGGAGAGAGCCGAGTGTCTGTCTTGGTTGGTACCCTGTGTTTTCAGAAATACAAGTGATGTCTTGATTCTTGTCAGTAGGAAGGTCTCTGAAAGTAGGCAGAGCAGTGGTAAAAGTAACTGGGAGTGGTGGAGTTATTTAGAAGGTGCTTTTTTTCTTACAGGAGAAGAGGAGGAGGAGGAGCCTGAGATGCCTGTGGGCCCTCGCCCACGCCCTCTCTCTGAGCTGCACCTTAAGGAAAAGGCAGCGCCCATGCCTGAAGCCAGTGCATTTTTCATCTTCAGCCCCACCAACAGGTGTGTGAGCACAGGGGGGAAGGTGGGGCTCTGCTCTCCCCATGATCCAAGACCAGCAGGTGCCAGCCTGTGGGTAGAGCCTGGGACTGCCCCAGCTCCCCACAACTTGTGTGAAGAGAGGGACAGGCTTTGTCTCTCAGCGTGTGAAATGCATTATTCCACTATAAGGTCAGCTGTCATTCCTACTATCGTTTCTTTGTAGGTTATCTGCCCCTTATCTCTTTTTAGGGAAAAGGGTTCTGGATTTCGCATCAGAAGGCCTGTGTATATTTTTCTCTTCATTTTTTGAAATATGTAAACTCTATTTCTATTCTTTTGGTGATTATTCTTGGTAATTAGTATGTCTATTTAACTTAACAAAGTGTAAAGCTAAACAGGATCTTTAACTTTGTGCAAAATATCCTTAACTTCTTCCAAATAGAAGGAGCTTAGACTGTTTTAACTCTTCTCAACCCCTCCTGCCTTACATGTTATTGTTGATTAGTGTTTAGTCCTGACCTTTATTTTTAACCCAAGTTAGACATTATTATCAGCATCAGTACTGTTATATAGACAGTGTATGTTTGGGTTTACGTACAACTTACCAGTCCATCCTTCTGCAATCATTGTTTTCCTTCTTAAAGTACATTCTTTTCTTCTCTTTTTTTAAATGGCACTTTTTTTTTTTTTACTTTTCAGTTACAGTTGACATACAATATTATATTAGTTTAAGGTGTTCTAAAGTACATTCTTTAGAAGTTCCTGTAGTTCCTTTATGATAAATTCATTTGGCCTCTGTTTACCTATAGTTGTTTTCATTTCTTTTTTTGTTTGTTTGATACTGAAATTTGACTCTTTTATTTTAACTTTTCAGTTTCCACCCATATATTTGGATATGTACACATGTTAGTTTTCATCAATCAGTTTTTTGGGGAGTTTTTTTGTTTGTTTTTTTAATCCTCACCTGAGGATATTTTTTCCTTTGCTTTTCAGAAAGAGTGGAAGCGAGGGAGGGAGGGAGAGAGAGGGAGAGAGACACACATCAATTGGTTGCTGCCCGCGTGAACTCCAGCTGGGGCAGGGGATTGAGCCTGCAACTGAGGTACATGCCCTTGATCAGAACTGAACCCAAGACCCTTCAGTCCTCGGGCAAAGGCTCTAACCACTGAGCCAAACCAGCTAGGGCCATCAATCAGTTTTATTTAATTTATTTTTATTGTCAAAAGTATTACAGATGTACCCTTTTTCCCCTCACTGACCCCCTCCAGCCTGCACCCTCCCCAAGGCCTTCACTGCATTATTGTCTGTGTCCATGGGTTATGCATATATGCATATAAGTTCTTTGGTTAATCTATTCCCACCGCCCTCCCCCCTTCCTTCTCAGATTCGTCAGTCTATTCCTTGCTTCTATGTCTCTGTATCTATTTTGTTTATTTTGTTCATTAGATTCCACATATGAATGAAATCATGTGATACTTGTCTTTTTCATTTTTTGTCTTAAAAATAATTTTGTTGTGCACACAATTTTGGATTGACGGGTTTTGTCCCTCAGCACGTTAAATGTACTATTCTACTATAAAATTAGCTGTTATTCCTAATTCCTACTATCATTTCTTTGTAGGTAATCTCCCCTTATCTCTAGCTCCTATTACACAGAATAAATTGCCTCAGCAGAGTGTAGGTTCAGCCATCCTCTCAGCAGCCACATCTCTGGGTGGCTCTGTTGTTCCCAGTACGTAAAAATAAGAAGTAGATCTCAAAGTGGGTTTTTTTAATGATGAGGAAAAGAAGTCCCCCAACAAAAGCCAAGTTGTTAATGTCACAACAGTATTTGAAAATTTAGAAATTTGCAAAGGTCTCAGATGTAACTTTCTAAAATGTCAAAAGTCTGCTGTCAGCAAAAGGGCTTTAGAATGGCAAAGTTCTGTGCAGACATGCCTCGTGGTGGGGGCAGGGTTGTGGCTGTCATTATCTAGTAGCAGTAAGACTTTAGGCTGAAGCATCCACCCTCCAAATTGACCTTCTGTGCGCTGAAGAGAGGATCTGGGGCTCCTGAGACCCAGGGAGCTGCGTTCCTTGCCTTTCTGACATGATTCTCTCCCTCCCTTCTCCTTCCCTGCAGGTTTCGCCTCCAGTGCCACCGCATTGTCAATGACTCGATCTTCACCAATCTGATCCTCTTCTTCATCCTGCTCAGCAGCATTTCCCTGGCTGCTGAGGACCCCGTCCAGCACACCTCCTTCAGGAACCATGTACGCATCCCTTTTGTTCCCTGCACCCCCTCCTCCCGGAATGTGACTGGGCCCACAGTTTCTGTTGCTGACCTCATTCCTCAATCAGGAGCCCAATTCCAAGTCTCATAGTCAAAGAAACAGCTCTTTAAGAGATTAAGGCTTTGGTAGAAACCATCTAAGAGCCACAAGTAAGAGAACATGTACCCAAATACCTCAGGCTGGCCTGATTGGCAAAGGTCGGGACTGTCATTGCCCTGCGGATGTTCCGCAGGACTCTCTGGTTTCCTGTAAACTTAGTAAAAGAGTAACCACGAATCCTGGCTTGCTCCCAGGATACCCTGACCAGGCCTAATCATTAGAGAGATGGGAGCACTGGCAGATAGGTGCCAATGATAGGGCTGACCTTATATAAAAGAGCGCTTTGGTGACCTTCTGTGCAGTAGAAAACTAAACTTGGAGGCCCACCCAAGGCTCCAGTGAACAACATTAAAGTCTAGAATAAGAATTGCTGTATCTCAAAGCCTCAAAACATATCCCAACCAGGTAGGCATGAAGAGAGGAGCCTACCAATCTAAAGCCATAGCTGTGCAAACCACTTGATGGTTCCACTTGGCCAGAGCATTTTTACTGAGAAGGGAATTGGCCCTAGCTCCCATCCACTGAAATATAATAAAACATGAAACCAGGCAGCCTGTCCCAGCCTGGGTGGGCCTCAACCAGAGGATGCACCCTCCAGTGCCCCAAAGGACACAACCCCAGCGTAGATTTCCACCAACCTGGAAAGCTGGCTGAGTCATACAAGTGTCACTTAAGCACTTGCATCTTCCTGCAAGAGCAAACAAACCCCACTCTCTATCCTTTTGACAAGTCTTTATCTCAGTGGTCTGACTTGAGTTTGTAAGTATTGGATTAATGAGAAAAGCATCAAACTAGATGCTGTACAGACTCAGGACCAGTCAAAGCCTGCCCCGGAAGCTCCCCTCAAACATCTGGGGATGTCATCCAGAGCCACAAAGCTGCCTGAGGCCAGCCCACTCCAGGGTCCAGTGCTGTGTATGTGCCACCTCGTCTCCTAATTTGTCTCCACGTGGAAATGCTCACATGGCGTGTATCGTAGTTTTGGAGCATGATTCCCTTTCTGGTGAACAGCCACCGACTGACCTCTCCTCCGGACCTGCTTTCTCCTTTCCCTCCCCATTCCCACCGTGTTTCTCTTTGTTTTGCAGATTCTGTTTTATTTTGATATTGTTTTTACTACCATTTTCACCATTGAAATTGCTCTGAAGGTAAAGCCCACCCCTCCCCCCTGCTCCTCCTGTCCTCCTCCTGGCACTAGCTCTCTGCCGCTCTCTGTCCCTAACACATGTGTTCCTGTTGCTGTCCGGTTCCCTCTCTGAGCCACTAATCCAATTGTGCTTATTTTTCAGATCCTAGGCAATGCAGACTATGTCTTCACTAGTATCTTTACATTAGAAATTATCCTTAAGGTAATGCAATCTGAGAAATGCATTCTCTGTCTCTTTATCTGCCCTATCTGCCTCTTTTTTCTCTTGTTTCTCTCATTCTCTGTCTTTTACTCTCAAGTCTGAAATCAGAAGAATTAGTGCCCCTGGCATTGTGCTAATGCACTGCTCAGGCTCAGAAGCCAGAAGAAACCCACCCCCAGCCCTGCACCTGCCTCCTCTCTGCTTAGCATTTGGCTACCAGTGTCACGGCTGGTGCTGTCCTGCCACCAGGTCTGGCCCTGTGCCAGTCAGCAGTGCCCCCACACATGCCCACACACTCCCAAACATGCCCCCACACACCCACACACTCCTGCCCACACCATCTCTGGGCAAGTGACGACTGGCCCTGCTTGGAACTCTCCTGTGCAGAAGAGATGCCACACAAACTCTAAAGATGAAAAGCTCAGAGGCCAGGACAGAGTCACTTTGGTTACCCCCTTTATTGCCCATTGCCAACACCTTCCTCAGTGCTTGCAGTGGACATGGGTATAACACAAGATTTAGGGCCAGTCTCCCCACTGAGAGCTTCTGATAGACAACTTCAGATTACTTCTGTACTCTCGGTTACCTGCTGAAAAGCTTTGTTGCAATGCCCCTTGCCCTGAGCATGGAGGAGGGAGAATTATGCTGGAAAGCTAAGGACAGGGGATGAGAGCCAAGTGCTGAAAGAAGCTGGGTCCTCCAGGCCCAGGGCCCAGACTTGAGGACGCACAGGCCGGGCGGGTGAGCCGCTGGCAGCCCAGGTGCAGGCCGCTCGGCTACAGAAGTGCTACAGGGCCTGGCCCTGAACCACAGAGCCTGCCTCCGAGCAGCACTGGGATGAGGGGGCTTTTTCCAAGTAGTTTCTTCTTATTTATATTAATACATAACTAATATATTACTTATACTTATTTTATTATGATTTCTAAGTTCTTCCAGTATACTTCGAGCCTCTAAGCAATGCATCACCGTGCCAGTTCATGTGAGATGTAGGATGTGAGTTCTGAGACCCAGGCAAAGTGCATTTCAGCATTCGCCTCCTCTTAGAGCGAGGGCGTGGACTTTACCCTGACCCCAAACAGCCCCCAACAGAAGGGTCAAAGGCTCCAGAGCACATGTTTCCGCTTAGTGTCTTCCTGGGACACTCTTCTGGGATGCTCCTCCCAAGGGGCCAGGGTCCCTTTTCACCCTTCAGGTGGCTGATGCAAACCAGTGTCCACACCTGACCCTGTGCCACGGCCAACCCCAGGCCCTTCTTTCCCTGGTGGATCTCCCAGGTCCTGACCCAGGCCTCTCCTGCACAGGATGTCTGTGCCATTCCCAGTTACAATTGGGGTGGGGCAGTTTCGTGTGCCTTTTTGTTGTTGTCCAGTTTCTGCCCCTGGTTCCAGCTAACGGGAGTGTTTCTCAGGTTTTCTCTCTGCTCAGCAGAGCAGATCTGGCCAGGTCTGGTTCCTGGGGTGGGGAGAGGGGGCCGAGGGTGGCCTGGTGCATTCAGAGATGGTGCCGAAGAGCCCCTTCCAGGAGGAGCTGATTTTTTCAGTCTTCAGACTCAGGGAGGCACACGAACACCACAATCCTTTCCTATGACAAGAAAAGCTCTACAGCCCAGCTCTCAACACCCTCCACACAGTGCTTCCCTGTGGGTTTCAATGGTGCTATTGTTCCTTAAGCATTGCCATATAGGCAGAAGAGAAAGCTCTCTATAGGAGCATTGTCTTGTCGTGGCAAGACCCTGCCCTCCCTTCCCCCCCTGCCTCTTCCACTGTATTCCAATGTGCTTCTAAATTTAATGCCAACCCCAGTGCACTTCCCTGCGCCTCCTTCCCACCTGGACCCTCTGCCTGGCCTGAAGGCCTAGCATTCGGCCACAGCACAGACTCTCAGAAGAGAGGGGCATTTAGTCCCAGGAGCAGATGGAAGACCTGGGGATGTTTGGCCTTAAAAAGAAAAGGCTTGTAGGACACAACAGTTGGCTTGAATGATGCAGAGGCCTGTCACATAGAGGAGGGAGGAGCTGGAACCAGGACCAATGAGCAGAAATTACAAAAGATAAGATGCATTTAATAACTGGAACTACTTCCTCCTGAACAACTGAAGTGGTGGTCACCCTGTCTGGACAGAGGGGCCTTCCTGCCCTTCCAGATCAGAGTCAGTGGTCCTGTATCCCACTGCTTTTAACTCCTCGGGCTGAAAATGCCAAGCAGGGGCTTTTCCTAGGTGAGGGCTTAGGACTTTCGGGAAGCAGGCACTGGATGGGCAGCAGTCAGCAAAACAGTACAGGAAGGACTTTGCACTGGGGGCCTGAGCCTGGCCTTTCTTGATGCCCTGAATGCCACCGGTAATTTTCAAGTAAATGCTCGAATTTTTGGCATCCCCTTGCCCTTTCTCTTACAACCAGTCCTCCTCTGGCCCTGCCTGGCCATGTGCCCCCTACACACACACACACACACACACACACTCCACACACACATATTCCCCTGACAAAATGGGAGCCCAAATCAAAGCACAGAAGTTGGCTCTCTGAGCCCCAGTAATCCACCCAATGGGGGAATGCTTTCCCCTGAATGCAGATGGCTCTATTGGAGCTCAGCAGCATCCTAACAATATCCAAGGCGGGAGCAGACCCCGATACCTTCTCTGAGGTGAAGGGTGGGATGGCTAGGGAGGGCGCTCAGCCTTCAGCGGGCACAGAAGCACTTTGGTTAACATGAACCATGAGAGCCACCCAAGTCTGCTCTCTGGGGTCTTCACTGAGAGACAGGTCAGGCCTTCGGGAGAAATCTCCAACTATATTCCCCTGCAACTTTTTATATAACCTGCCCACTTCTAGGAACTATTGTAGGACACAGGTGCCTGAGTCCCCTGTGACCCCCTGCAGCAAGAGATAAATGGAAAGAATTAGGTTGCGGGAGCTATTTTTGCCAGTTTCCCCTGTGCTTGATTTTGAATTGCTCTGCAGACATGCTGCCCTGGGCATGCTCTGATCCAAACACATGAACTGGACCCCGGTGACCAGCCATCAGCTCCCAAAGCTTCCCTTTGGCTGATGCTTTGTGGCCCATGGCTTTTCACAGCCCTTAACCTGGAAATCCATTGCCCTTAATTCAGTTCAACAAAATTGGAAAGGCTATTTGCTGAGCACCTGCAGTGGCTTTATACCAAGCTCCGAGGGAGGTAATAACAGCTGATGATAATACTCATCATTCCACGTGTCCCCTTTTGGTTTCCAAGGGCTCTCACATGGCTTTCGGTGTGTGATGTGTGCCTCAGAGAGGCAGGGAATCGTGTGCCCACTTTATCAATGAGGAAAACTGAACTTCTGTTGTGCAGAAGTAATCCAGAATTCAAATCCACGTTATCTGACCCCAACACATGCACGGCACTATCAGCAGGATGTTGTTCTAAGTGGTTTACACATAATAACTCAACTGGAGCTATAACTCTATAGGGGAGATATTATCAGCCCCCCCCCATTTCTCAGATGAGGAAACTGAAACACAGAATCATTAAGTAACTTGCCCAGGCCACACAAATAAAATACAATAGGGTTGGGATTCAAACTCAGATGGCCTGGCTGCCGAGCTGTGCTCTTTAACACAGCACCGCACAGCCCCTCTGAACACACAGCTCTGGCCCTGAAAGCACATGTGGTCTAGAAGCAAGACAGTAGATCCGAGTTTAGGACACTTGGCACAGATTAGAAACACTGCTTGAGGCTAGGAAGTGGAGGGAGGCTAATTGCCAGAGTTATTGGTAGAACTGCTCACTGGGCAATAGAGGACCACCTGTGCCGTTTGCCTGATACTGAGCAGCTGCCTGGGACCCAGACTTTCAGAACTGAACTGGGAAAGTCCCAGGAAACCAGGACGGTTGTGATCCTACTGGGCATGCCCCCCCTCCCCCAACACCTAGTGTCCTACGCTGGCCCTGAGGTCAGTGGAATTTGGAGAGGAGGTTGGGAAACCGGGTCAGCACAGGGTCAGCAAGGGCCCCTCGGGGCTGGAGCCACAGCCATGCCATGAGGAACAGTTAAAGTGGGAAGGGTTGGAGGTCTGATTTGAAAGGGCTTCGAATATAGGATTGAAGAGTCTGGCGTTGGCTGTATGTGGAAGGAGACACTGATAGATCCTGAGCTGGGGATTCTTTGGCAGTTGTATAAACGGTTGCAGAACCCTTTTCTTGGCACTGTATCTCCTTCAGTCCTGCCTGCCCCACCCTCTGTCGCCTCACTGCTCTTCAGCAGGGTGTTGTGGGAGGGCAGGGTGGTGGGAGGGGTCTCTGGAGCTTGGGCAGGCACCACTCACACCCGTGTTTCTCTGTGCCTCCCTGCAGATGACTGCTTATGGGGCTTTCTTGCACAAGGGCTCCTTTTGCCGGAACTACTTCAACATCTTGGACCTGCTAGTGGTCAGCGTGTCCCTCATCTCCTTTGGCATCCAGTGAGTAGGGTCCCTCAGCCACCATGGGGCATACAACCAGGAATGGGTGTCAGACAGGACATAAAGACTCGGAGGGCCTTTCTGCACCCCACCTGTGGACCTATGATGTGAATGTGTGGGGCCTCTGACTGTACAACATGGTAGCTTTGATTTCTTGTGCCCATGTCGTGCCTTCAGTGGTGTGACACGTAGGGTATGTTGATCCAGCAGGAATAGGTTTAAATGTCTGGATCTTTCCATGGCAAGCAGGACCAGGCCCAGTTATGATGAGAAAAAGGTCTCCAGGGCCTCCCTGCCCCCTCCACCATGTACCCAGTGCCCTTGGGTGCCCTCAGCTCCAAGGACCTGCCATTGCCCTGATCTCCGGTCCATCCTCCGGCCCTTCCCCTGACCTCTCTTTCCAGTCAAAGCACCTGGTGAGGGAGGGAGGGAAAGAGAGAGAATTAGTCTCAATCTTGGCTACACAATGGAATCACCTAAGTAACTTCAAAAGACACTTGCCCCAGAGTTTTTATTTAACTGGTCTTGGGTATAGCCAGGGCTTTAAGATTTTTTAAAGCTCTCCAGGTGATTGTATGACCAAGGTTGCAAACTTGCTCAGGTTTGAAAGAATCCGATTCCAAGTTTCTCCATGTTTTATCAGCTAATAGAGCTAACACTGCACTTTAACTTCCAGGCACTTCCACATACACATTCTTCCATAGTCCTCATGCAAAGCCTACGGGGTAGGCAGGTGAGTGCTGTTATCACCAGTTTCTAGACAGCAAAACAGGTTCAGGACATTATAAGACGCCCAAGGTCTCACCAGTGGCAAAGAAAATGACCCTGAGGCTCCCCTCCCAAGATGTTTTCAAGGTCAGCCTACAAAGCATGGAGGAGTGATCATCAGTTATCTGACCCACAGCCATCTGCCTGTGAGCCTGCAGGTCTGAATTCTAACCCCAGCACTACCACCAAATCGTTGTTTAACCTTGAACCAAGAGCTCCTCCCTTTAGTCTGTGCTTTTCCCATCTGACCTTTAAATCCCTTCCATTGCAATTCAGTGCAAACCAACTCCCTCCCTGAGGTACCCAGATAGATAGGAATGTCCTTTGAATCCTTTGGAATGAAAGAGCCATGAGCCAGGGAAATCAGGTCTTTCTGCCAGCTCCCTCCTGAACACGCCATCCTGACCACCTAAAGAATGAAACTAGCACTTGCTGGTATGTCATACGTTTTTTAGGTGCCCAGATGGGTGGGTATAAGGCTTTCTGAAAGCTAGAGAAGATGATCTCAGTGAGATAGTTAGCATGTGAGGGTCAGGATATACTGCAGAGTTGCTCACCCAGCTAGCGTGGTGAACAAGACCACCTGGGCCGGGGGATAGCCCCTTCTGCTTAGGGGCTCAGTGGGGGCTCACACCCTAGGGCCTCCTTTCCACTAGGGAACAACAGTGGCCCGAGGGTCCCCAAAGTCTTTCTGTGGCCCTGGCTTCCTAGGTGTGTAGAACCTGTTGTGTAGAATTCATTCCTCCAAGTCCTGACTGCTATGAACCAGGCGTTTTATGTATAAGTCTGGGCAGCCACGTAGGACACATGTTTAGAGATGAGCACCGAGGTATCTACTGCCCACACTCCACCTCCTGCCGCAGGCCTGAAGTGCCTCCATTTTAGTAGTATTTCTTCAAGTTCAGTGATGTCTTCCTCAGACCTAACAATAAAGCTACCACTTATTCAGTTCACAGTAGTGCCTAGCACACTGCTAGACGACTCACACCTTACTTAGTCCTTGCAACCACCTCATGCAGTGATTACTATTCAATCTAACAAGTGAGGGAACAAAGACTCAGAAAGGTTAGGAAATTGCTCCTCGGTGACTTGGCTCGTATGTGGCAGAGATGGGTTTCAACTCAAGTCCGAGCAGCCCAAGCTGTGTTTTGATGGCTCTAAAGGTCCCCCGAGTAGCACATGATACTGCTAGTGACTCCTGGTGAGTTACTTTGCATATTATTTAATCACCCACAGGAAAGTCCTGGTGGCAGGCGAGCCTCTGGTCCTCATGGGGTGGGAGCTGGGAGTAGAGAAGGTCCCAGGATGAGAAAGCCCCCTTTACATTTTCACAGGTTTTCTGGGGTTACCTGCCAGGACACCCCTTACCCCATTTTTTGCTGCTTTGCCAAAAACAGGAGAAGCTCACTCCCTGCCCTGCTTCTCTCTCCCAGGTCCAGTGCAATCAACGTCGTAAAGATCTTGCGAGTTCTGCGAGTACTCAGGCCCCTGAGAGCCATCAACAGAGCCAAGGGACTAAAGGTGATAGGGGTGGGCCTGAGCGGAGGCATCAGCCAGCCTGTGGACTGGGAAACTAAGTGAGGTGAGGGTGGGCTGCGGGAGGAGGTAGTGGTCAGGTCGTGTGGCTGCCCTGCTAGAGCCTGTCTCTCCTGCCTGCTTCTCTAGTCCTACTTCATGAACAGTGGCAGGCAGCCACTCAAAATCTGAGCTAAACAAAACTTCAGCATAAAGGAGACCCACACACAAACCCAGTGCCCTGATGGGGATGAGGCTCCTATATTCCTACCCTAGGAAATGGGAAGTTCGTGGGGCTTTGTCCCTGTGATGGCCTAGAGCCCAGTGGGGCCTTTGCGTTCCACTGGGTTCCATCCTGTGTGCCCCTTGAGAAGAGGCTTTCCTCTTTTAGTCTGAGTTCCCCACTGTGGCAAAAGGGCTGCCCATGCTGCCTCCTCGGAGAGGCCTGTGCTTGGCTGCAGGCATTTCCTGATATCACATCGCCTGCCCACCTTCTCTCACTGCAGCATGTGGTCCAGTGTGTGTTTGTCGCCATCCGGACCATTGGCAACATCGTGATTGTCACCACACTGCTTCAGTTCATGTTCGCCTGCATCGGGGTCCAGCTCTTCAAGGTAAAGTCTTGGCTCGGGTTATCCTGGCTCTTCCTTCTCCTCCTGTCAGCCTTCCTGGGAAGGGGCCCTGACAGATACAGTAAAAAGAAGACCGTGGCCTGATTTCCTCCCACCCTGATCATCCCTCCAAGCCCAGCTCCACTTCTCTGCCCCACGAGACCTCTTGCAGTGTTCAACACTCATGAGCGGAGTGCTCTCTTTCTGAACCCCAGTGGTTCCCATGGCTCTGACTGCTTTTCATCTGTGACTCAGGTCTTCTCCACCTGGGTTCTGCTGTCCCTGCACTTCTTGTCCCAACCCCCCTAGCACAGTGCTAGGGTATAGAGATGATCATTTCTGATTGAGTCATTGATTAACGAACATCTCCAATCCCTCTATTCTTCTGCCTTCCAGGGAAAGCTCTACACCTGTTCAGACAGCTCCAAGCAGACCGAGGCAGAATGCAAGTGAGTACAGGCTGGCGGCAGCCAGCACCAAGGCTGGTTAACTCAGGGAGGTTGGTGACTTCGTGTGAGAGGAGGGACGGCCCATTCTCCTTCAGATGGCAGTGGCAGCTGGACTTTTACCCAGGGATAATCTGGTTCGATGGGCATAACATGTACCAGGTTCTCCCCACTGAAGCTCCTCCCAGTGCTAGAACTGTGGGGTTTAAGCCTAACTAGTCCCATCCCACCCAGCATGCCAAGAGTCATTGGTGGACCATGTGTGAAAAGAGGTGGGAGACCCCCAGAATTAACTCCTTCCTCTCTTTCTTAGGGGTAACTACATTACATACAAGGACGGGGAGGTTGACCACCCCATCATACAGCCCCGCAGCTGGGAGAACAGCAAGTTTGACTTTGACAATGTCCTGGCAGCCATGATGGCTCTCTTCACGGTCTCCACCTTTGAGGGGTGGCCAGAGTGAGTATGCAGATCAGAGTCTATCCACCCTGATATCAGAGACCAAGACACTGTCCGCACACACAGTCCCCAAGTTTTACTACTGTCCCACACTCCTTCCCAGAGGTCACACTTACCCGAGTCCTCCCCAGGACGTGTAGCTGTGTTTCTAGAAAAATCTGTAGTCCATCATCACTGCTGAGACATAGACTCTTCTTTTTCTAGAGATGTCAACCTTTCAGAAACTCCAACCAAAAATGAGCTTCCCTTTCCCAACCTCAAAGTGAGCCCCAGGGATAGGGGTCTGTGGTTACCCTCATGGCATCGGGAGCAGGGTGTGGGGAGGGTTCTCCAGTGTGGGCCCGTGGATCACCACAGGATCCAAGGTCATTGCTTCCAACGTGCACTCAGTGTGGGTGAAGATGGCAGAGATGTCTCTGTTTTCCTAGACTCTACCCAGCTTCCTTAGAGAAAGCCATGTCTATATCTACAGTGGAAAGTAAGAAAGGGACGGAAGCCTGGGTCCAAACTTTTCTGAAGAGGCAGTGTTTTCATGCCTAGACCACCAGCTGGTCAGCCTTTACACAGTACCACCTGTACCAGGCAGCCTGTCCATCAGGTGCTCCATACGTCTTTGTACAGACGCCCGCTCCCCTACTTTTGTATTCCAGTGAAATTATCATCTAAAAGTCAGAAAGTTCTACAGATTTTTAAGTTAACAATAGCACATGGTCTTAGATAAGAGTCACCATTATTATATGGTAAAAATATAGATAATATCTAGAGGATAACCAAGTACTGTGCCTGGTAAGAAAGGAAGGGGAGGAGGCAGTCCCTGTCCATGAGGAGGAACAAGCAATGATGGACACAGAGCCCAGGCCTTGATGGGTGGCATCCACATGTAGACTACCTAAGTATAAATCCAAACCATTGCCAATAATCTGAATAAGTGGCGTCCTTTGTTATCTACTCTTTTTATCTAAATGGATATTTGATCTCTGATAGATTTATTTTATGTTCACTGTAACATCCTGAGTCTGTCAGTTTGCAAAGCTTTTTCAATATTTACCAATATTTCCAGTATTTGAAATCAATGTCCATGATTCATGTTACATTAAAATAATTTTTGACAGTTTCAAACCAACTTTATATACATTAATCAACTACTTTGTCAGGTAGGAAAGTCAGAATTATTGTCTCCATTTTACAGATAAAGAATCTGAGGCTCAAAGAGGTTAATTGGTTTGTTCAAGGTCACAAAGCCAATAAGTGGCACAGTTGGGACTTGAACCCAGATCTTCTGACTCCCAGCCTAGAGCTGTTTCCAGCACCCCTGAGCCCAGGGGCCCCTAGGAGCAGCAGTGCCATCATTCCACAGAGGTGACACTGCCTCTTCAGTTCCCTCTGTGGGGCCTGTCTCCTCCTCCAGGCTGCTGTACCGCTCCATCGACTCCCACACGGAAGACAAGGGCCCCATCTACAACTACCGCGTGGAGATCTCCATCTTCTTCATCATCTACATCATCATCATTGCCTTCTTCATGATGAACATCTTCGTGGGTTTCGTCATCGTCACCTTCCAGGAACAGGGAGAGCAGGAGTACAAGAACTGTGAGCTGGACAAAAACCAGGTAGCTTCCTAGAAAGGAGAGAAGCGAGGTGGTGAGGGGAAGCAGGGCCACATGAGGAGTGCCAGTAATTGGCAGCCTGTGTCCCACCTGGAAGAGAGGCTGTGGTCAGGAGAGAGATCCATGTGGATACTGAGATCATCTGTGTGCTCCTCTAAATGAGAATAGGGCTCTCAGTCTTCTGGAGGAGCCTGAGCAAAGGAAATGCTCATCCCAGATCTCCCAAATGCATTCATTCAGCCAACAACTATTCGTTAAGTATCTACTTAAGGAGACAATGATAGATTCTGGGGGAAAAACCTCATACCCTATCTAGAAGCCCATGAGTTAGAAAGTGCCCACGAGGATTAGCCCTATTGATAAAGAGGAAACGACCTAGAACAATGAGAGAGGGAGAGTTTTGGGGGCGGGGAAGAGCATGGCCTTAGAAAACCACTATTAAATGGTTTCTCAAGTAAAACCCGGAGGCCTGTGGATGAGGTGGGGCAGAAAAGAGGCTTAATTAAGTAGGAGTGCTGTGGTAATCCCACTACCTTGACTTGTTCTGTTAGCCTTGACTTGTTCTGTTAGCCTCAGCAACTCCACTGATGAGGAATGAAGCTGTTAGGGTGGGCTGTAGTGTGTAGTCACGAAGGTCAGGTCCCCAGCTGGGTCCCCCCAGGGGAAGAGTCTGTGGGAAATACACCCCTATCTGTGAGCAACTTCAGGTCTATGGAAAGGAACATGGCACAAGACGCTCAGCTCTACCCATTAGGCCAGCTGGACCCCTCACAGATTTTGATGTTAACATCTTAAGTTTAGACTCATCATTCTGGCTGCTGTATGGACTTTGGGTTGGAAGTAGACAGGAAAGAAGGAGACCAGTAGGAAAGTGTAGATGAAAGGTGTTTAGACCCTCATCTACTACCAGTTTAACAGTAGTGGAGATGGAGAGTAGGAGGAAATAAGGTAGATCAGGCTTTGAGCCTGGATGTGGAGGCAGAGGGTAAGAGGAGAGGTGCAGTGACTCCCTGGTCCCAGACTTGGACATCTGGGCACAGTGCTGAGAAATGAACTGGTTCTGTGCTGGAGACCCAGGAATCTGGTTAACCCAAGATCTCGTCACCCATCCATGGCCTGTGTCTTCTGATCTGTGAACAGTGGTAAATAAGAAAGACTGATTTACGACAGGAAAGAAAAATTGAGGAGAGAAGTACCCCAAGGAGAGTCTGTGGCAAAGGAAATAAAATGCCAACTACGTGTCAGCAGTGCACCAGGCATTACAGCTGAAAAAAGGAGATACTCCTCCTCAGCTAAGCCTGATCAGATTAACTAGAGGAGATTCTCTCCTTGATCAAAGAGTGAGAGAAAAATTAAAAAAAAATGTTCCAATAATACCTTAAACCTGTAAATGAGCTAGAGCAATAGATCATGCTCTGACTCCCGGAGAACCCTACCCCCAAGTGTATAGTTTCATCAACATCCCACCCTCCTTTGGCAGCCTACACACATCATCCAGGTAACTAACCACGCTCTGCCCCCATTCCCGCCCCCCAACTGCCTCCCTCGCAGCGACAGTGTGTGGAATACGCCCTGAAGGCCCGGCCCCTGCGGAGGTACATACCCAAGAACCAGCACCAGTACAAAGTGTGGTATGTGGTCAACTCCACCTACTTCGAGTACCTGATGTTCGTACTCATCCTGCTCAACACCATCTGCTTGGCCATGCAGGTGAGTCCGGGGGCCAGGGGCCCACGATGCCCGCGTGGGGGGAGTGCTGTGGAAAGAAATGGAGTGTAAAAGGGCTGCACCAGCATCTCTGGTTTTTCACCTTCCTGATGGCCAAAGGAGGTCGAAGGACCAGACGAGCTGTCCCCTTCTCCCAGGTGGAGAGAGACAAGTGTTCTCTCTGAAGGATGAGTGCCTCTCTGGGATTTAGGACAGAACCCGTAGGCCCCCAGGCTGAGAAAGTGGACAGAGTGGAGGAAATGGAGAACAGGGGTGAGCTCCAAGTGTCCCTTATTGTCAGTAAGGCATGTCGTGTGGAGGCTGGTTCTACATCCACCTGTCTTCAGGGAGGTCCACCCATGCTAGCACTCTTTTGAGTACCAGGATTCTCCATACAGTTGTCATAACCAGTCAAAGCAGGGACGTAGACCTCTGCCGACCTCTGTTTTCAGAGATGGCAGAAAAGGGAAGAACTTATAAGATTTCTTGAGTCCACTTGATTGTTCACAAGAGAAGTGGATGGACTTCCAGGATTGGTTCAAGGAAGATCTCTGTTGAAATGAGGGTGGTGAGGGTTAGGGATATCCCTGCCTCATTTTCACAGTTCTTCCCTCCTCTCAGCACTACGGTCAGAGCTGCCTGTTTAAAATCGCCATGAACATCCTCAACATGCTCTTCACTGGCCTCTTCACTGTGGAGATGATTCTGAAGCTTATTGCCTTTAAACCCAAGGTAAGCCTCTGAAAAAAGGCATCTGGGGTGCAGGCACCAGATGGATAGAGTGCCAGTATCAAAAAGGGAGTGAGGGGCAGAAGTAGTCAGTGAAGGGCCATATCTTCTCTGATGATAGATCAATGTTCCAACTCCTAACCCTGCTGAGTTTGGACCAGGTCAAGCCTTTGAAGTGGAATCTCAGATCATGGTCTGGACCATGGCTGTGATGTACAGGATACAGTTTCCTCCCTGAGCTGAGCCTTTCCCTCTAGGGGAGGCAGATGATACTTTCTCTTCTGCCATTCCCCATTTTGTCTCTGGTCCCTTCCCCCCAGTACATAATCTAGAAGAAATTATGCCCTCAGACTGGCAAACCAAACCTCTCCAGGCCCAGCCCTCCAGATCCACTCAGGCCTCTGTTCTCCCCTCCTCTCATTTCATCAGCCACACAGACCAACCTCATTGTAAAGAACTCAGCCAGGGCTGCATTAGCTCAGGGCTCAGTGTTCTAGTCCATGGGGGCCCCTGTTCCCCACCTCAGAGGCTACATCATTGCTTCCTTACACGTTCCAGTATAGGAAGGGCAGTTACCTGCAAATGTCTGTGCTTTGCTTCTTGTAAGCAACTCCTCAAAAAAAGTTTGGGAGACAAAAGTAGAACCCTTGGATGAATGCGGCAGGATAGGGAAGGCTGGATTACCTGCCACCTTGGATTATCTGTGCCCTCTTTAACCAACTCCACCCCATTGTTTTGGATAAAAGAGGAACAGGCTAGTTTGAGCAGCAAAAAATGTTCCACCCCTTCAGTCTTTCACCCCTGAGGACAGGACAGAATCACTGGCATCCACTGCCCTGGGATTCCTAACGTGGGCAGCTACTTCTGAGGGAGGTTGTATAGTAACTCAGCAGCTTCCCTGGCTACCACACCTGTTGGAAAGCGATGAGAAGGAAAGAGTTGGTTCTAAGAGAATTGTTCCATAACTAACTTGAGAAAATCTCTCTGGCTTTCTGAATCTTCTCTTCCCCTCCTTTGTTCATTTCCCCAGATGCAACACAGATCAACAGAAGGCCAAACAAAGGAGTCCCTAGCCATATATTCCATTTTTATTCAAACTTCTACTGTTCCAGGACTAATTGGGGCTGAGGTGCTCCTTGGCTCTTAGATCCATGTTTATTGACAAGCTATCCATCATCTTCTTTGGGTTAATATCCAACTAATATTTCATAATAACCCACCATGTGCTATACATACCTCACTGCATGTAATCCTCCAAATGCCCTTATAAGATAGGTCTTAGCACCCCCATATTAGGGAAGAGGGAAGTGAAGTTCAGAACAATTAAGAGTAATATTAATTTCACCAGTACTAAGTGGCATAACTGGGAACAGAATCTAACACCTCTGACTTATATTCAATGTACTTCTACACCAATCTGTTAGCATCTTCGCACATCAAGTGTTCTGCTGGGTGCTTTTCAAAGAGAGGAAAGCAACCTTTGAAGTATTTAAAAAATAAGACAGACAATATTCTTAAAACGCTGATTCTTCTTTTCACTCAAGGGATTTCGGCTGATTTCCAGAAAATAAGACTCCTAATGAAAGCCATTTGGTGATGAGAATGGTGTTTTTATGTCTCCTCCAGGGCAGCAATTAGTCTTTTTCACTCTTCCTTCCATGCCAACTCCCATTAAGGGACATACACTTTTGTCTTGGCCTAAAGAAGACCACAGAGTGTCCCTGGCCATTTTCTGAAAGGCCCACAGTACCTCTGCCCACCTGTGGCCCAGGAGCACTGACAGGTTCATAGCCCACGGCAACATGACTGGGCGAGGCCAGGGATGCAGGATCATTGCCACATTGAGCTTCAATCTCAGATGGCAGCCTCTAGGTAGGGAAACTGGCATCACTTTCATCTAGTTTCATGAGACATGTGGTTTAAATATTTCAAAGCCTTGAGTCATTTCACAGTTGACTCAGATGTGTTTCTGATGATGCTGCTGCAGTCTGCAGGGCCCTGCAGGGGACTTCCTGAATCACGTCTCATGGGCACAGATGTATTCAGCAAACCTGCCCCAAGGAGCAAATGAAACTGACACTTGCAGGGGCCTCCACCTGAAAGGCACTCAGCCTAAATCCTGTGAATCTAGGAACAAGCCAGATTCCCAGAAACTAGCCAGTTGTGGTTGTCAAAACCATAATGCGCCTCCCAGCTTCCTGAATCCCTAGTTTTCTATTGTGAGAATAAGGGGGAAAATAAGAGACTTTTCATAAAGAAGAAAGAGAGCCATCTGGGGCCATGTGTACTCTAGCCTCTAAGGTCAGTTTGTGGTGAAAAGAGAAAGGAAACTGGACCCTTTCTGTGGATACTTCTGAAGTGACTTCTGGCAATAGAGGAGTATGGTCACTGAATGGCTGGCCAACGAAGGTGACCAGGTGGGAGGAGCGCTGGGAAAGCAGGGCTCCCTGGAATCTTATTGATATTCTTCATTAAGGAATAGACTCCAGGAAAAGCAGCCACAAATGTTTCAGGCAGAAAACCAAACCAGAAACTACTTGCAGCTCTAGCTGAATTTGACCCGAGAACCAGGGCTTTTGACAGTGACCTGAAATGAATTCCCCATTAATTGGAATTCTGTCACCTTTCACTCACTGGATGATTGCTTATGTATGATATGAATGGTTTGCACTTGTAAGCATTAACTGTAAAAGGACAATTAGGCAGCAAGAATGTCAAAGACTGACATTGGTCACCAACAGGGAGAAGTGATCTAAAGTTGCCACTACTCGATTTTCTTCTCTGTCCTTTTTGTCTCTGTGATTGGTTGGTCAGTCAGTCAGTTGGTCAGTTGGCCATTTTGTGCTCTTGCTTTCATTCTTTCATTGTCTTCCTAGCAACTAATGTTCCCAAGTTCCTCATTTCTATCTTTTCTCACCACTCTATGGAAAACAAATTTATTCAAGTAAATCCCTGCCCCAAATTCAGCTGTCCCACTTCCTAAATTCATACTCTGTTTCAAACACATACAAAAACTATGGGTGAATATAGGCCAGTTTAGAGCAATTCAGTCCCCCACCAAACCTCAGGGACCTGAGTCTGGTGATGTCTGGAAGAGTGGGAAAGATGATAAAGTAGGACTGAGCCAGAGGAAATCCCTTTCTGAGAGTAGAAGGAATGTCTGGGAGATAAGCAGATAGCACCTGCGTCCTACTTGACTGTGCAAGACCAAGCTGGTCAGCCTGAAAAACTTTTGGTCTGAAAATAACTGATTAGCTGGGTTGTCTTCCTATCATGAACTGAAATTTATCAGAGAAGATCGAAAAATATTTTTAAGATACACTTTATGGTAAGCACTGAAAAGTATCCAGTGCCTAAGAATGAATCCAACAAAAAAAAAAGCCTCAAATCTCTACAGAGAAAACTATAAAATTTCATAAAGAAGAATTAAAGAAAACTTAGTAAATGGAGAGAAATATATCATGTCCATGAACTGGAAAACCTAATATTATAAGGATATCATTTTTCTTCAAACTGATCCATAGACAGTGCAATCCCAACTAAAACTCCAGGCTGAACTTTCCCCAAGGTGGGAATGGCAGGAGAAAGGTAGCCACCCAACAAGACCTTTATGGCCAATAGGATGACCCTGGGTGTGTGGTCCCCAGGCCTCAACCCAGTTGGGCAGCTCTGACATCAGGAGAGGCAAGATCCTGGTTCCAGAAGTGGTACCAGTCACAGACACTCCACTGTCAGCACAGGTTTTAGTACCAGAAGGAGCGATGATGCGACTTAGGTGCCTGGGATCTGCTGTTGACAATGACTCAGCGAGGGCGAGGTGATGAGGAGCAGCAGGGGATGGGGCTCTGCCTTCTCCTCTGCAGTGGAAATCCATCTGCCCAGGAGAGGAGACACTCACCCAACTAGAAGGTTTCTCCCCATGCTCCTCCTCCCCACAGGCTTGCCCATGGCTCATAGAGGGGTAAAGAGGCAGGGACTGCTCATTCTGAGACTTAACCTCATTCCCTCATTGGCTGCTGCCTGCTCAGAGGATGCAGGTCTCACTGCCTCTTAGCCCCCCCCCAAGGGGAAGATGCTGGGGGCATTTCCCCCTGGCAGCTCTCTCATCGAGGCCTTGGCCTCTCTTTTCAGCTTTTTCCCAGCCTGAGAATAGTCCAGAGAGGTAAACAGACCCAAAGTGAAAACACTCACTGACCTTTCTGTCCCCCGGCTTTCTCAAATAGGAACAACTGAAGCCTCGGGGCTCACGTTCATGTTGCAGGACAAAGTAGGGCCCAAAGGCATTTCTAACCTAAGCCATGAAACGAGGCCTCTGGACCAGCACTGTCTAATGGAACTTTCTGCTGTAATTAAAATGTCCCATGTGCACTGTCTAGGAAATAGCTACTAACCCCTGTGCCTATTGAGCACTTGAAATGTGGCCAGTGCAGCTGAGGAATTGATTTTTTAATTTTATTCACTGTAATTAATTTACATTTCTCTGGCTGCATGTGGCCTAGAGCTGCTATATAGGGCAGCGCCGCTCCGGACACTGCTTCTTCCCAACACTTTCCCTTTCTGCTGTATTCTGTCCATTTTGGCTTCTCCAGCCCAGCTGCTTTGGCTTCCTGAGGCCGGTGGTTTCTCTCATCCTCCCTACTCTCTCCAGCTAGTAATTTTCTACCTGAAATTAACTCATAATGGTGGAATCCCTCTTTACAGGGTGAGATAGCCTCTTGCCCTGGGGTCTCCAGTGTGCATTTTCTCCTGCACCGGCCAGCTCTCCCAATTGTCCCTGGGCCCCCCAGTCCTCGTCAGCTGCAAGTGCGAAGGCTCCTCCCCTGCTGGCTTTTTCTCACCTGGTTCCTGAACCGTGGAAGGGAGAGTGCACTGGCCGGTGTGGTCTGGAGTTGGTCTTGCTGCTATGGCCAAATGGAGGGTATGTCCCTGGTGAGCACAGGCCACTGGACTTCTGACTAGGGCTCCTGATTGGCATTTTAGTGCCTTAGTGAAACAAGTCTGTG